GCTCGGCCGAGCCCACCAGCAGCGGCCACAGGTCGCGCCCGTCGATGGCTCTGCGGGGACAGCGGAGGCGGCGGGTCCCCTCTCTGCCCGGGCCCTTCCGCAAAACACCCTTCTGCCTCCTGCCTGCTGTGTCATCCGTCTCCTAGTTTGCTCTCTAGTGACCCCTTCAGCTTCTCATGCAGGATGATGGGCACGCTGCAGCGGCTCGCTGGCCGGTGACCTCCCTTCACACCCGAATGTCGAGGTGCATCCGCCCTCCTGCCTCTGACTCGAGCGCATCTTTTCTTCATGGTACCAGGAACGAAACTCACACCTCACACTTGCCAGGCAGGCGCTGTGCCGCTGAGGCAGCTCCCTAGCCACTGAGCGTATGCTTCTTCCTGCCTGTGTAGTACTCCCCAGGTGTAAATACATTTTAAATTGCAGGCTATCTATCCCCCTCAGATTTTGGCAAATGGCATAAGTTTAGAAGATCAATGAGCTCGGGACGTAGTTCAGCGGCATAAGCACCTGCCTGGCAGGCGCAAGGTCCCAAGTTCCATTTTGAGTACAAAAAAAAAAAAAAATCAATAAATAAGATGGAAATATTTTTTCTACTTGGATAAAATGAAATGAAGCTGTTTTTGTCTCAGTCTCTCTCTCTTTTGGCCCGGCTTGGGGCGCACGGCTGACCCCCGCCCTCGAGGGCCAGAGGCAGGAGGGTGTGCGCATGAAGCCCAGTGCGGGGACACACAGCGGGCACTCGTCCCCAAGTGAAAATGAACTAGGAATGTCGCTAAATGTGGGCCCGGCCCCCAGCACCACAACACCGTCCCAAAGGCAAGAAGAAAACCAAGAACCGCAGAACCACCCCGTGAGTGCTGCGAGAGAGGCCGGCCGGGTCCAGCCGCGCAGCCCGAGACCCGCGCTGTCACTGGGCACGTTGTCACAAATCGCGGGACATCAAGTTTGCTTTGGGTGTCTAAGCAACGCCTATGCCCACCTACTGTAAGGTATTGGAAAAAATATTCCAAACCATTCAAGCGGGTGTTCAGCTATACACTTTTTTTTGGTACCGGGAATCGAACTCAGGACCCAGCGCAGGTTCGGCAGGCCGGCGAAGGCGACACTGTCGAGTGCCACCTGCAGCAGGCGCTGCAGCCCGCGCTGTGCCCAGGAGGCCGAGGCAGGAGAGTCTCTGGTTCGGGCGCGCCCCGCCTACCTGTCCCGCGGCTCCTGGCCGCCCGCCAGTCGCACCACGGTGGGGAACACGTCCATGAGACTGGTGGGCTCGGCGACCTCGCGGCCGGCGGGCAGCACCCCGGGCCAGCGGAACACGCCGGGCACGCGGATGCCGCCCTCCCAGCCGCCCATGCCCTTGCCGCCTGCGGAGGCAGAAGCGGAGAGCGCGGTCATAGTCCGGATGAGGAGCGGGCCGCGACTCTGCCGCTGCGCGGGGGACCGGCTCGGACGCAGCTTGTCTGCCGCGGGGGTTCATGGAGGATCTGCGGAGACTCTCCCACCTCGGCCTGCTGAGCCCGACGACACGCCCTCGGGAGACGCGGGGTGGGGGGGGACGGGGACGGGGCCACCTGCAGGGAGCCCGGGGACGGGGGAGGCAGAGGCGGAGGGTCTCCCCGGGAGCCATTGGAGCGAACGGGATGGACAGGACGTGGCCTGCCTGCAGCGTGGAGTATTATGCAGCCATGAAAAGAGAAGAAACTCAGGCACGGCGCTCCTTATCGGTAAACTTCGACAAAATTGTCCTTAGGAGGCGCCAGAGACCACAAGGCAGAGAAAATGGGCTGGCGGTGGGCGGAGGAAGGAGGGCGGGAAGAGGCGGGACGCAGGGAGCGAGGGCGCGGCAGGGGCAGCCTCACCTCTGTAGACGCCGTTCCAGCCCCCGAGCTGCCGGCCGCCGAGCTGGGCCTCCAGGGAGCCGCCGTGGTCCGACGTGAAGTACACCAGCGTGCTGCGGCTCAGGCCTTCGGCCTCCAGGCGCTCCAGGATCTGACCTGCCGGCGGGCGGGCGGGCGGCGCTGAGCGGGAGGCCGAGGCAGGAGGAGCGCGCCACGGG